GATGGAGAATACAGGAAACATGAGGATTTTGGGGAAGGTGGGTTGATGAGAGTAACATAAAAAATTATTTTTCTAAAAATATATTATACTCTCTAACCAAACACTAGAAAATATTTTCCGGAAAAAAGTTTTCAATTCACCAACCAAACAAGGGCAAACAAGTGATAAAACTATTCATTTTCCATGAAAAATATTTTCCTTCGTACCGAACACACCCAAAATCTATATATCTAAGTTAGGTAAAATGGTATAATTTTAATAATTTAATAAAATAAAACGTAATAATTTTTTTGAGAAATTATAATAAAAGCTGTTAATTTCTTAGTGCCAACCAAATGGGACCATAATTGCCAAAAAAGAAAAAAAATTAAGAATGAGAAATCAAAAAGCTGCTGATTAGAGAAAGGGAAACTTGTAAGTTTAGTTCTTAAAATATCGACATCTTCTATTTTGATCCTTGTAACAATTGGTTAAACACATTAAACCTTCAGTTAATTGAAATATGACTTTTTGTTTTACTTATAAATCTTTACAAGTTTGATGAAGTATTAATTATTAAATGATTTAATTAGCCATGTGTTACTTTAAATTTGTTTATTACTTTATATTAGAATATAATATATTTTCTAGGTAGGGATGAAAAACACACATTTGAATTAATTTATAGTTAGCCATGTGTTACTTTAAATTTGTTTATTACTTTATATTGGAATATAATATATTTTCTAGGTAGGGATGAAAAACACACATTTGAATTAATTTATAGTTAAATAAGCTTATTGAAAATCATACGAAGATTATCAATAATAGAGGGATGAAAAATGCAATTAATAGTAAGGGGACCGAAAAGAAAAACAAAAGAAAATTCAAGGGGCATTTAGATAAATATATAGAATTAAGAGGCGGCAGTGGGAGAACCCTAGTTCTCATCGTTGTTGAGTATAAATACTCCATTTCCCTTTAGAATCAACCCCTTCTCATCACTTTGCCTGCGATTTTCTTCTGCTGCGCCGCAAGGGACCTATCGGAGCTTAATTTCTCTTGCTCAAAGGTTAGATCTATCCATCTTCTATATGTTTTCTTATCCATTACTGTTATTTGTAATCACTTTTTTGTGTTGATCTGTTTTTATTCTGTCAGTAGATCTGTAATTCAGTTGTTATACATATTGAAATAGCATAAAAAGGCATGTATTTTTGTTATAAACTGGATTTACGTTTATGTATTAATGAAACTTTTGTTATCGTTGTTGTTTTTTGATTCGTGAAATGAAGTATATATAGCTCTGAGATATAGCTTGTGTTTGCGAGGTTTTGATGATTGAGTTGATATAGTTTGATTTGTGTCGATGATCTGTGCATGAGCTCGAATATATATAGCCAATGAATATATATCTTGAATTTCTAAAAAGATACTAAAAAAGGTGGGTATAGATCGGTGAATGTTTGTAATAAATTGTTATATGCACAGTGAATGTTGATCTATTCGTAATACTCCTTCGATTTGTGGCATTTATTAGTCCTAATATGTTTTACGAAATTATGTTTTACACAACTTTCATGTAGTTTGAGGAATCAAAAAATACTATGCAGATTTTATTCCTTAAATATGTTGTTTTCTCTATCGAAGTTTTCAACAATTGCTTTAATATGCTCTTCTACTATCACTAATATGACATAATATATGAGTTAAATTAACAACTTAAGCTACTTAGTAAACCCCATCACATTAAAATGAGAGAGTGAGTAGTATATTTATGTAGGTAAAATATAGTTGTGAATTAGTTGGATGTATAGGAAACACTTGGTGCTTGTTTTTGTTGTATATCACATGTTCACCTGTTATTGACAGAGTCATTTTGTCAAGCAATTCTGTTTTAATTTGTTCTAATTGATGAATGTGTTTGCATATATTTTACTTGTTTTTGAAATATGTTTTATTTAAATTGCTTTTGAATTCTGATTCTATTTGTATCAATTGCAGTCTCTTAGTCACTCAATATGGGTAAAGAGAAGGTTCACATCAACATTGTGGTCATTGGCCATGTCGACTCTGGGAAGTCGACCACCACTGGTCACTTGATCTACAAGCTTGGTGGTATTGACAAGCGTGTCATTGAGAGGTTTGAGAAGGAAGCTGCTGAGATGAACAAGAGGTCATTCAAGTATGCCTGGGTGCTTGACAAACTTAAGGCTGAACGTGAGCGTGGTATCACCATTGATATTGCCTTGTGGAAGTTCGAGACCACTAAGTACTACTGCACTGTGATTGATGCCCCTGGTCACAGGGACTTTATTAAGAACATGATCACTGGTACCTCCCAGGCTGACTGTGCTGTCCTGATTATTGACTCCACCACTGGTGGTTTTGAAGCCGGTATTTCCAAGGATGGCCAGACCCGTGAGCATGCATTGCTTGCTTTCACCCTTGGTGTTAAGCAAATGATTTGCTGTTGTAACAAGGTTTTGCTTTTATCAATAGTTTGATATCGATTACTATTTTAACAAGAAGCATGGCATGTTTTGCTAAATCTGTTGTTTTGTGCCTTGTGCAGATGGATGCTACCACCCCCAAGTACTCCAAGGCTAGGTATGATGAAATCGTGAAGGAAGTTTCTTCCTACCTCAAGAAGGTTGGTTACAACCCTGACAAGATTCCCTTTGTCCCCATCTCTGGTTTTGAGGGGGACAATATGATTGAGAGGTCTACCAACCTTGACTGGTACAAGGGGCCAACCCTCCTT